GCACCCCCCGACTCACCTGTGTGCTCCACTGCACATAAACAAAACCTTTCATGATAAATACCGTTCATGTTATATAGCAGGAAACAATTCAGATTTTAAAGGTATTGTGGATGAATTTTTCAAATTTTTTAAAAGACCCGCCCACTCCACTTTAGAAAAAAATGAGCTTGCGAGAGCATGCACGAGCCAATTTCTCCTCGTGCACGCTCTGTTTAAAAGTTGCTGTACTCATAGCTCATACAGACTTACTGTGTCTGAATTTCCGCCCTAACCCCGAAATCCCTCAATCATTATATAGAGCAGGGACTATATAGTGGACTTTATAGTGAACTCAGTCAACTTACAGTTTGGAAAAAAGGTCTCTTCCACGTTGGTTCACTGCATGATGCCTGCGCCATTTTTGTTATTAGTTGCCGCTGTGACAGCAAATCCCATAATGTTTGCGAGGAGAGCTCTCCGCGCAAAGCATTCTGGGATATATCTGCCTCTTCTGAGGCCTTTTTTTCTTTCTCAAACACTTCATAGATACGTTTTCTCTTACAACCCTCTGCCATTTTCAAAGAACCGCATTGACAAAGGTGAGCTTCAATGACTGTCTAAAGCCGTAGCTCACCACAGATATATGCCTGAAAGCGTGCATGCGCAAAGATTGCTAACGGGACGAGCACATAGGATGGCCTTAGGTAAACATATCACCAGAATGATTGACAATTAGGAAGACCACTTATTTAGATGATCCACCCAGAAATAAAAGATCCTTCTCAATACTTTTAAGAAGAGCACTAAAAGTTATTTTTAAGTCTCTAATTAATCATAAAAGTTCATAAAAACAAAACTTACTAGAGTAGAGATCCTTAAAAAAATCACTCAAGTACTGCAAAAGAATACACATAAAATTCTGTCCCGGTTGCACATGACCTAAACAAATACTGCCTGTTTTCATTATTTTATTTTAAATATGTTATGGTGTTGTACAAGGCTGAATATGATTCCGATTTATTGTTTAGGTTTAAATCACAACTACTCAGACTCATGCACATACATCAGCATTGACTCTGGTTCAGTTTAAATGAAATTAGTCATTATTTATCAGGTGAGTTTTTGTGCCTTTAACTTGTTATTGTGGATTGAAAAAACATTACGCTGCTGCTGCAGATTCTCGCCAGAAAGACCAAAAGTTTACGTGTATTTCCACACACGCTTATTGTCATACATCCCAGGTTTTACGTCAAAAATTGCAATGCGGTTTTTGTATGTAGACGCGTTTCATAGTTGAGGACCCTGGACTGTGGAGAAAGTACAAATGAACACACTACTGTTTATCTCACTTTAAAATAAATTAAAAACAAAAAATCTGTATTAATAATGCAATTGAAAACAGAAGCTGAAAGTTTTATACTAGAGAATATAAATGTAAAGCTTGATTCTTATGATTAACTTTCTCGGAAAGTGCATATAGTGAAAAGCAAAACAGGTAAAAGGCCTTTTTATTTATAGGTTTAATGTTTGGTTTACTTAGTGCTACGTGATAAAATGCTATTAAGGGATTCAAATATGATATTTTAGACTTGCTGTAAATGCACCAGAGTTAGCTGAAAGTCTATGGTTTTTTAGTTCTTAAATTCTTGTTGAAAAATCCCCCTGAAATCAGAATATCTGATAGAGAGAATAGTCGAAATTCTCTACACCCTGCAATGCAGAGTATGATGAAACATTATTCTGAATGTATTAGTTATGCTAGCCTACTTTTGTAAACCATAAAATATAAACCATGACCTGTAAATTATTGCTAAGTTGTAACATTACACAGCATGGAGCAGGATGACATCTGTTGGTTCTGTTAGGGGAACCTATTTATTCAAAGCTTAGGCCAGTTTGACATCAATGAGCTCCAAATGCTTAATTTAACTTAAAATGTTGAACCTTATTAAACTCTGAAGTGCTAGTTGTATGTTCTTATGCATCCAGAAAGCCTTCTATGCCTTAAGCCTTTTCATTTTCTCTGACAGCTTTGACTGACAGTCAGATGCTTCAGGAGCTGCTCTTGACCCGTCACTCAATCCCTAATCGTAAATATGCCAGCTTCTTCCAAAGGAAATGATTCCCATTATCATTACTGCTTTGTTTATGCATTATACATGTTTGCCAGTAAGTGTGTTATTTAGTTTCTAAATAAATAGTAAGCAGGCCTTGATGTTTGATTGAAGAAGGTTACATCTTAAAGTTCACCCAAAGTGTTTATTGAACCTTCTATTGTTTGCTGCATTTTAAAATCGTACTCCTTACTGGTAGAAATGGAGGTGATGTATTTATCGATAGAGGTGGAAAGTGCTGTCTGCATATCATGTGTGAAAATACTTGATTAAAGGATCACCGGTGTTGTAAGATAAAAAAAATAAAAATAAATTCTTGAAAGATCAAGGCTCTGCAACCCTTAAGTGCTTAACCTGAGAGATATTAAATTATTTTCCAATCAAAATTCAGCAGATTATCCGAGTGGGCTGTGCTTCTCACAAACTCCTCTATGTAAATTAAGAGTCAGACCGTTCTCTTAGTGAGTCATGTGACCCAAAGCATTGCTTTATGATGGTCTAAGTTCTCCTTAAACATAAGAACTTACTAAGCTTTGTTGTTGCCTGTACAAGTAACTCCATGACTTCATAAGCTGCTGCCAAATACAAGAAGGGAAAGCAGTTCAATTCTAATGTCAGCCCCCTTTTTATCTGTTACTAATTTTAGTGACACTGATGATATGCTCAAGTTTGCTATTTTTAAGACATATGGACATATGTATATATATTTGCTTTGTGTGTGCTGCATGTAAATTATTGTTCTGAAAAAAGAAAAAAAAACGACTGAACCCTCTTAATGAAGTCTTGCTCCAGGGGCCCTAAAAAACTGAGTATTTCTTTCTCGCTACTTCTTTACTCTCAAGGCTGTATTTGTTGTCAACTCTAATACGGTCTAACTCTTTCATAAAGCACTTGACTGATGACTTGTCATGATGATATAGCTGAAGTATAACAACCATCACCTCTTGTCTTTCAAGATATGCATGAAGAGCTAAGCTTTAGGGCTGCAGTCTGTTGCATTAAAGCACAATTAAAAGTTAGACAATGGAGAAACAAAGATCTGCTCACATTTTTCCACTCATGAATCTGTCTCTTTTTTTCCTATCTGCCTGTTTATCAGCTATATGGTGAATAAAGATTTTAATTATTAATCACGCTTTATAGTCTTTATTATTGGAGTTTTGGTTCTGCCTGTACTCTTAGAGTTCCCTCCAGATACTTCGGCTTCCTGGTTTCTAAGTTTTCTTTTTGAGTGTTTGAATGCATGGATGTTTGTAAGAGGAAAGATAAACCGAATGAAGGTGTATGTTGATAGCCTGATTGAATATCAGGTGTTGCACTTATGTAACCTAAAAAGAGGGGAAAAAAACTCAGAGTTTGATTACAGGACAAAATATACTTCTTTATGTAGCAGGTATATACAGTGGAGCTTGAAAGTTGACATACCCTCACATTAAGGAAATTCACACTAGTGACTCAAATAACTCAAAACTGAAAGAAGCAATGATACATAAAAAATTACAATATTATAATCAAATGTTATTAATTATTACTTACTAATTATACTGTCAGATTATTTTTCTTGTCTTGGATGGAAAGGTATGTAATGTTTTATGTTTTATATATTAGCTTAAATTTATACATCAGAATCCAAATGACAGAAATCAAATATTAGATAACATTATAACTATAAGGAAATCATCTTATCATCAGTCAGTTAAAAAATATGCATACGAGTTCAACATTATTACATGTATACCTTTCCAATCAATACATTTTCTTTGAACTGAAGTTAACACCTTTCCTTAAACTTTTTGTCTAAAAATATTCTCTTATATTTGGAAACTATATATTTTTTTAGCTTTCGTAAATATAAACATAATTTACAATTAACAGAAACATGTTAAATATGCTAGGGATATGAAGAATTATTGGCTCAACTGTAATCTTTACCCGGCAAACTTGGATTCAGATTTGATCCACCTTGGGTTACTAGGTTATTTACTGCATATGAGAAGCAAAACAATCACTGTGGCTTTATAATGGAAGACAAACGGCTGCTCCGTACCCAGTCTCCATCTGCAGGCTACCCACTGACATTCAGCCCAATTATCCACACTTCCTGAATGCAGCCGCAGCCAACAGGAGAAGACGGCCTTTAAAAAGTAAAGACAGCGAGAAACACTGATGTTATTTTAATCCTGCAGGCGTTCTCATGATTTCCATCAGAAAGGCAGCAGTGTCCATAAGCAGTGCAAAGAAGAACTTGTTCTTTGAAGAGTCATCTTTATTGTATTGTAATAGATGGGCTTATGTCATCAAGAGGAGTCCAAAAGAAACAACAGTAGAGGAACATTATTTTTTTAAGACTGCTCAGAGGTTCATTTTAGCCTTGATTTCAGAATACAAACAGAACATCACTAGCTGTGTAACTTATATTGTGTACACTTTCACTTTGGTTTCTAAAAGAGTCCTGAAGGCAGACGAGGGTTACTCTGAGTTTTTTTGTTAATGGGAGGCTGACCATCTTCAGAGAAGTCTTAAGTAAAAAGATGTTACCTTACCGCATGATAACGACCGGTCTCACTTCCACCAATTTAAAAACTTTGCTTGAAGTAAAATTAGGGTCACTTTTTCTGCTTTGGTCTTTTCATGAGTAAATATTTCCTTATTTTAAAAGTTTTTTGAAGCCCTGTTATTTGTTTAGGACCCCTTTAAAACTTTGTTTTTATGGTATTGTAAGATAAAATTATTATTATTTCATGAAAACTTTGGAAAACATCAAATGTAAAGCATTTTGTTATTATTTCTTATTTTTTGATTGACGGTTGGTTAATGCTGTGACCAATGATTTGTTGTGATCTCATAATATTCCCTGTTTTGTGTCTCAGTTTGTTTAAAACGTCTTTATTTCTTGATTTGCTGCAGGGTAACCCCACAAGAAGGTGATTCGCCCCCCTCAGATGCTCCCGGGTCTTCTAGTGGACCACTAGGTGCTACTGGTGGCGCTGGTGCTATAGCTTTGCCTGCCACCTCAACCCTCTCGTTGCCTATGAGCCAAGCTAAACCTTCTCTACGTCGCATTAAAGGCCGTATCCATCGCAGTAAGAGCCTGGACAGCATGGACCTGCTTGATTCCAACGTAAGACTCAGTTATAAATCTCTCTTCTAGATAAAATACTTTGTGAAACTGATGATTGTTTTTTTCTGCTGTTTCTGAGGCCCCAGTCACACCTTGACGATTTAGCCAGTGTAAGCCTGACGTCCCAGAATCTTCTAAAACGCAGGCATACGCTGAAAGTTCTATGTATTTTTTCAATTTGGGGCATTTGGATAGAGTATTCATAAGGAGTCCAGAGCTGATGTCCAACAACAGCCTAACTGATGCATCAGGCACCGCAGCGTAATGCCCATGAAATGGCATAAGCCAGTGTCCTGAGGGTGGCAGCGATGCGCCCGGAGGCGCTCGGCCTGCATAAAAAGATATATTATTGATCACTGTATTAACCTGGCTGCCGTTTAACGCCTGTCAAAAAAATAAGGAGAAATAGAAAGAAAAAAGAGAAAGACAGAAGGTTTGCTGTGGCAGCAGATTCAACTTCATGTCTGCCAGGAATTTGGCTGACGTGAACACAGGGAGGATTCATCACACTCACCTTCATGATCACCCCATGATGCGGATGAACTCTGGAGGAGTACAGACGGTTTCCTCCCGTGAACCCCCTTTTATACCAAAACGCTTCCAATATGCCATTATACAGTAGCTGTAAGTTAGAAACACATTCAGCGGTCGTCTAAAACAGGTCAAGCACATTGATATGCGTTGGAGATAAGTTCTTGATAAGTTCCGCGTAAGTTATGCACAAGTTATTCATAGGTTTTGGATAAGCTAGACGCCACGACTTATGAGTAACTTACATTTAACTTATGTAAACGGTCAGATAACTTACCTGTAACTTATGGTAAGAGCATACGTTGGCCTGTTACGCTGGAAAATTTTGAGCATGTTCAAAATTTCCTGACGTACTTGCCGTATGTTGACGTGTTTCAGCATGCTTCAGCTTACTTCAGCATGTAATTTATCCAACGTATGTCAGTGTTTTGCTAGATTTCAGGTATATGCTGGCTAAATCATCAAGGTATGACAGGGCCTTGAGTCTTTTATTTGTAGAATATTAGGATGTTCATGCAGCAGTATGAAAACTGTTTCTTTCCAGGTTTTTAATCCAAGATTCAGTGAGAGAGAATTTCCAAAGTGTTCCAGCAGCAAAATCCCTGATAGTCTTGGATAAAACTCTGAGATCATTTACTGAATTTGAGCTGCTGCGGTTTAAATGCAGACTAAATGTCAGCACAGTCATAAGGTTTTTTTTTTTAGTTTTTAATCCTGATAGTTTCATTCACATTTACAATTTCTACACGCCACACCGCTTATAAAACTGCACACATTCACACAGGATAACCTGTTGTTATGTAATATTTCTTTAGTTTCATTTTTTTTTTTTCCAGATCAGCACGGTTTATCACATTCCACATTTCTGTCTATGACTGATTTGTTCTCATAAAAAGTATTAATCTGATAAAATGATTAGGTAAGCTGCTTGGATCTGAAAACCCTTCCTGACTCTGGGATTGTCCATTGAGCTCAGAACTGCATTTGGCCCATGGTTAATTCATGCAAACTTGTGTGCTTTTGTTGTGTGCGTGCGTGTGTTCTGTGTTTGAATGTGTGGTGTTTGGGAAAGCTACCAGCGGTTTATGATGTAAAAGCATGCCGGTCTAGACTAATGCACGCCTGGTGTGGCTCGTTTTCCTGTTTTCGTCCTGGACAAACAGATACAAGTCTAATTTCTGCTCAGCTCTGCAAAGTCTTTCTACCCCCTTTTGCTTCCTTTATGTCTCGACCCTCTGTAGATGTCTCCTTTAATAAATGTTCGCAGGGTAATGTCTCCTCATCCGCCCCCAACCTTCCTCTCCAGGTTGACAGTGTTCAGTGTGTTTGTGTGAGCATTTGAGTGTGTGCACACTCAGTGTGGGTGTTTTGTAGATTAGATGGCCTTAATTGAGAGTTGCATGGTGAGTCTGTTGTAACAAGTCACTATTTGTTCATCAACCTGTCTGTTGTATGAACTGGAAAAGGACTAGTTTAAATGTGTATTTAGAAGGCAAAGGTTTACAGCTTAATCCATTATTAATTAGGAGGGAGGGTTAAAGGTGGGCAGAGGAAGTCATGGATGATGTCAGCGACATTCTCAAAAAATTCTGCACTAGATAGAAAAGGTGCACATGCTGATTTTTGTCAGCTTGCAGGAGCTTTCCTGTCAGTTTTTTTTTATTTTGAGAGAAAGCAAGAATATCTGATACATTTTTTAAGACAACCTGAGTGCACTGATGCGTAATATTTGGCTGTGAGCCTTCTGTTCTAAAGGAGTTTTTCATACTTCACAGACAGTCCTGATCACGAGCAGATGGGCTGTCCCTTTATGTTTTCTTTTTAACTTTTAGGTTCTAAATGTAAAGCCATTATGAGACAGTTGCAGCATGCAGGGTATGTAATGTCCTGTCTGAAAGCATTGCTATGGTTTATATTAGATGAATTGTGCTTTCTAATGCCTCATGTCATCAGTAATCCATTCATTAAAGTTTTTTCTTTTTAACATCTCAGTAAAGGCATTAAAGCTGACCAATTTTTGAGTCTCTTTGTATTAATATATTCAGAGGACTTTTTCAGTCAGGCCTTTATTCTTCCTCTATGTTCATGTGTTGGTGCTTCAATGTTTGTCTGCATGTCATGGTGTACTGCTGCCTTTCTAGGTCAGTTCTAGACAAAAAACTTCTTATTGACATCTTGAATCTCTGTGTGTTTTCTATTTATAACTGGGTTTTTATTTTGATGCAACATATATGAATCGTCAGTATTATAATTCTGTTATAAACCTGCACAACAAATAAGTGATCTGATTTGTTTGAGCTTCTTTTTATCAATCTTGTATTGTGGCTTTTCTTTTTTGTCTTAAATATCATAAAATAAATAATTTATTGTAGCACTTTCTTGGCTGCTATGCATTTACATTATCAGTTATCAGTTTAATTATAAATTATAAAATAAAATATATCAGTTTTATTATTAATTATAAACTGTATTATTTTATCAGGCTCCATGAAAGATAAGTTCTCGTTAAATTCCACAATTCTTACAAAGGGAGTAGAGGAAAATGTTGTAACAATACATTTAGCTTCTGAGTTACAATATTAACACTTCAGTCATAAATCATATCAAGTAACCCAATCAGTAATATTTTGTAACTAATTAAAATATTAAAAAATATTTAACTTAATCAAATTGTCTCTCCCTGTAGAAAGTGACCTTAAGGTTCTTAGTGTATAATTTACATTTTCTAAATCCTTGTCATTAAGGGAAAGTTTACAAGACTTTAGATAATTCAAACAGAGGCTTAGACGGTGGAAATGTCTGGGTCCATTTATTTGTTATATTTATTTTGGTCACTTTAGTTTATTCTTTGTCAGTATTTAATAACAAAACTCAGGTCTCTTAAGTAATTTTTCTTTAAAACAATTCTGTTATGGTTAAAAAAGTTGGTTAAATAAATATTTAATTGGAAGTCTGTGTTTGTGTTCTTTATTAAAATTAAATCATTTAGCAATATCATAAAATGTCCAGGCAGAGCTGCACATAAAATCTTTTCAATAAGTATCGATATCGATCAATATGCATTTTTTTTATCGATAAGCTTTTTTTCTATATTGCCCAGCCCTATAATAAAATATAAGAAAAATAAAAGTAGAATAGAAGCAAAAACATTTGTAAAACAAATAAAACAACTGAACCTTGAAAAAGCAGAATAAGAGCAACTATTAAAAAAAACATGATAAAGAAAGTAAAACAGTTGGATAACAACCTTAGACTAATACATTGGTTACCAGCTTAACTTCAACAGTCAAAGGCAGCTCTAAAAAAATGGGTTTCTAACTTCGACTTCAAAGAACTCCGGTTTTCAGCACCTTTACGGTCTTTTGGCCATTTGTTCTAGATAAGTTGGGCATAGAAGCTAAATGCTGCTTCTCTATGTTTGTTTCTAGCTCTTGGTAGACAGCGTAGATTGGAAATAGAACTGATTGGTCTGAGAGGTTAAAACACTGACAACAAACCTGTTATGTATTTAGGTGCTGATCTATTCCAACATTTGTGCAGACTCAGTTAACATACAGCTTAGAGAGGCACCTGCAGTTTTTCTCCTAACACGGGTGTGTTTGACAAGTCCTATCTTAGGTAATTAACGATAGCCAATTTAAAAGACTGTTTTGTTTGACAATTAAACAGTATTAAACAGGTGGGTCAAACCTCTCTGTTGACTCAGTTATAGCAGCTTCTCAGTGCAAGTGTTCCATCTTTTTTTGTCATATCTCGATTTTACTCACTTTTTCACCATTATTGCACGTCATAAGCACTTTACCCACTTTATTCTGATGTTTTATGGCGCCTTTAAAGAAAATATTATAACTTGACAATTGTTAATAGGCATCTAAGCATTAGTCTATCATTACAGTTTTATAATCGAACCTTTGCATTTGGAAAACCTTGCATCAAACATGCACCATCTAGAGCATCATGCATTACATCTGATCTCCATCCTTGTCTACCTCTTGTTTGATAATGAAGTATCTAACATTAACACCTGTTCGGTGTTAAACTGATACAGTATCTCTGTCAGTCCTTGTAATGAAATTTGTATTTCAGAGAGTGCAGGCTGTGTAAATATAATAGTTGTTGTTTGGGTATTTAGTAGTTTAGATTCTTTTATTATACACTGTTGGAGGTGTAACAGCGTCAGCGTTACAATTAAAAAGATGTATATTATGTTATTCAAATAGAGTGACCTGGTTATGTCTGGTATGTTTTTTAACATCACACAATACATGCCAGGCTATTGTAAAAAAACAAAAAAAGTAAGCCTCATTAGCCTGGTTCTGCTGGAGGTTTCTTCCTGTTAAAAAGGAGTTTTTCCTCTGCAATGTCGCCACAAGCATGTTTGGTGTGAGGGATTGCTGAAGAGTCAATGAGTCGATGCAATCAGCTGGTTTTCCTTACCTAGAAAACTTTGAATCAATCTGACTGTATGA